TTGTTGCCACCTGTACGAAGCTTCGCCTGACCAGGCTTGAGTCCACCCGCTTCTGGAATGACGCGTTCAGACCTGCTGCTTTCTGTACCTGATCTCGCATCACCAGAGTTATCACTGTCACTCCATGGCATGCTCTGTCTTGAACCAGCCATGCCAACTTACGGAATGTGCTGCTCAGACTTGCTGTTACTTGTGCCGGACCTCATTCACCCCGAACCGTTTCTGCTGCCGCGTAGCTACATTCAGCTGGGTCTGAGCTTGTCCCCTTATGGAATGAGCCGGCTGGGGCCCCCATCTCCCATCCTGGACCTCGTTCATTTTGATTTCGCTATGCTTTCGAGGGGCCTTGCCTGCCTCGGGTTGTTTCCACCGCTCTTTGGAATAACGCGGTCAGGACCTTTCCTGCTTGCCTCGGACCCCTCGCATTTTGACCCCTTACTGTCCCTTAGAAGCTTCATCCGCTGTGATTCATTTGTGTTGGCCTACGGCCTTGGACAACTTGGCTTAAGCCTGTCGGTTCTAGATTTCATCCACCCAGAGCCTCCTGTGCTGCCGCGGGCGCCTGTTTGATACGGCCCATCAGTTCTGGCATACGGCATGGTCTGCCCAGACCTGATCCTGTCAGTGCCTGACCTAATCCACCTGGGACTTTCCATGCTGTCGAGATCTCTCATGCGCACGGGAAGCTCCCTGCTGGTGTTCGGCATGACAAAGCCCGGTCCACCCATGCTGGCTTCGGACTCCATATCTTTCGGCTTGAGTTTGTTGCTTCAAAGCTTTATGTGTGTGGAATCGAGCGTGCCAGCATATGGCTTGGCCCACTCAGAGCCCTTGCTGCCGGCATCGGATCTTGTTTTACTCGGTCCTCCCTCATCCGTGCGAAATACGTGCCATGCTGGCAGTGTTCTGCTCTTTTTTGGGCAATGCCGCACAGATGGTGCCATGCCAGTACCTGATCTCTTCCATCTAGAGTTCCTTTTGTTCTTGCAAGCCCTTGCTCATTTCGGCCCAAGCCCCTCAACCTATGGAATTAGCCGCACGGGCTTTCCGCCCCTCGTCCTAGACTTCGTGCATTTGGGCTTCTCACCATTCTCGAGAGGCCTCGCGTGCTCAGGCTTTCTTTCGCCACCCTATGGCATGACCTGGATCGGCCCGTCGCTGCTCGTTCTCGACCCTGTGCATCTCGAGTCTGCCTCGCTGATGAGATGCTCTGGTCGTCTTGGGAGCTCGACTTCGCTGCTCGGCGGGGCCTGTATTGAAGGCGCCGTGCTTGCCCTTGACTTCATGCACTCGGGGCTCCTGCTGTCACTGAGGAGTTATTTTCGACTTGAGAGCAGCTTGCCCGTGTTTGGAATGACACGTCTAGGATCCTTTATGTCAGCACTTGACTTTGTGGCAACGGGCCTGATGTCGTCACTGCAGTCGTTTGTGCATGTTGGCTCTTCCATCTTGCTCATTGGCGAGATTCGCTACGGCGGCAGGTTCTCTATATTGCAATTTGCGAACTTCGGCAGCGCGCCGTTTCTTCAGAGCCCTGCTCGCCTTGGCCCTTTGACTCCTGTCTACGGCATGTCGAGGTTGGACT